CTGATAATAAAAAACCCCCAGCAACACAAGATGTGTACGTATGGTGGAAGGTGGCAAACGCAGGCAAGAATCTTACTGGCCACTTACCTGTGTGTAATAATCATGTAAGTCACGGCAGCAAATCGCCAGCGTTTAACAATATGACAACAGGGTTCCTGGTTATGTGTGCATCGCACAACTGCACAACCAGGAACCACAAGCCGTAGTGCCTCATCAGTGAGAGGCTTGTGACTTGTGTGCATTCATTTCCATAGGTCATCATCATCATCTTAGAGTTGCAGAGCTGGATCCCTGAGTCCACACATCAGGGGGATCGAACTCTCAACCCGAGCAGTTTGACCAATCCCCGATCGGACTCTGGCTGGTATTTCCAGAGCAGCCTGCTGTGGCTGGCGGCATCAGCCAGTGGGGGAGGCATGCCTCTTAGTCCGTGGGGGAGCGGAGGCCTGTCACCCCCTCAGGCGACGGGTTGTGGGGCTCAGCCCCGGCCTGTGCTGGGCTCAGCAGAGCGGCCTGAAGCCCCCTGAAAGAGTCTCTCTCCCTGGCTGCCCTTCCGTGGTCCCTCAGTGGTGCCAGTACAAACATCGACGCCTGGTGGCATCTGTCCGCCCAGCCTTTAATCCAAAGGGCTCCCAGTTTATTAGGGAACAACGGACCGGCTTAAACAGCAGCAGGCGCCCGAGGGAGCGGAAGGCCGGGAGACCGGGGGCTCAGCTCTCTCCAAACAAGTTTCCCCATTCAGCGCCGTTTCCTGGTGCCAACGTGCCACCAGGGCTTAGGTGGAGACAGACCCTCCCAGGGACACACGTGCATTCACCGACACACATCTACAAGAGACTCACAAGCGCAGAGCACAATCGGTGTATAGCTGGCTGGTGTGTTCCTGCTGGAGAGAGGGTGAGCAGAATTCGCATCTGGGATATCGGCCTTCAAAAGAACAACCAGAAAAATAAAGCAAGCTCATTTGCAAATGGTTTGAAATGGGAAACAGTCCTACCATGCACTCAGGGGCCCTCAGCTGTTAAGGATTCCCCTCTTCTCATGACAAATTATGGATTATCTCTAACATCTGTTTCGGCTCAACTTGAAATGAAGGGGTTCCTTTCCTTGCAATGGGCTACGTTCAGATGTCCCCATAGGCTGAGCATGGTGCTGCCAGGACCTGACCCCCTCCGTCCATCACTGCCCCCCCTCCTCGCCCATAATGATCTTCCCAAAATGTCTCTTCAGGTAACCTTCGGACATCAGATTGTTGCTGAAGAACCCAGACTCTTTTGCGGGTGTTTCTGTATGACAAGGGAGACCTGAGATAAAACTTTGCAGTCGGTCTGCATTGCCTGACAGTGTTCTTGACCAGCCTGGAACGAGAGAATGGAACAAGAAGGAGTGTGTGTTTTTTTTTGGGGGGGGGGAAGCATGCACCCACACACTCCTTTTCCAACCCGTCTCCTTGCTCCAGGCTTTCTGGCATGCCAAGCTTGGGTGCTTTGGAGCTTCAGACTGGAGATGGACCAGACCCAGCCCTTCAAATGCAGGGCCCTTTCAGAAGGGCGGTTGCCTCCCCCCCCATCAGCACTTCAAATAGAGCTCGGTCCTTCCAAAAGAAAGATGTGTGGCCACCCTTGTACTGATCGCTGGTGGAGACTCGCATGATTGGGTGCTCCTGTAGAAAACAAACTCTTCCCTTCGAAAGCTAGCACCCAAGGAGATCCTAGCTCCCTGACAATCTAGGTTTCTACCTGCAAGGCTTGATTTCTTTCTCTGTTTTTGATCCAGAGGTTTTTCCATGTGGGGAAGTCTCCTCTCTGGGTGATGTATCCCTTGGCCTCTGTTTGGCAAAGCAAGGCTAAACATGCAATGCCTCTCTCTCTCTCTCTCCCTCTCTCTCTCTCCCTCCTGGAGCGCCTCCTTTCCTGCAGGCGGCAGTGGCACGCTGCTCGGTAAGGAGAGAGAGAGAGAGAGAGACACTTGCGCCAGGGAGAGAACATGGTCCCCTCTCCAGAGGAAAGCCGGCGGAGGCAGCAGGAATGACCCAGATTCCTCCCGGTGGTGGGAGCCTCTGGCCCAGCTGCAAATCCATCATTTCCCAGGCTGCGGGAAGGCCAGGCTCCCTGGGGAAAGAGGTGAAGGAAGAGAGGAAGCAGGGCGGAGGGATTCTGGTCTCCCAGCCGGTCGGGGGAGACAGGCGCTGGGCTCCATCCCGGCTCTCTGGGTGAAGTGGAGCCTTCGTTCCCAATGGGAATTTCCTGCATCTGCCCTCTCAGCTCCCACGGGGCCTCGTTCTGGTTATTTAGATGTGTAAAGGATTTGTGCTTCGTGCATGCTCAGAAGCCCTGGTGGTGTAAGGTTTAGCCGGGTTCCAGTCTGGGCACCGTGAGTCAAAATGGATTCTGGGGCAAGATCCGAACGCAGGTCTCTGTGAGAGTCGAGGAGCAAGCGGAGGACGTCTATGACCAATGCGTTCCCTTGTTGCTCTTGCCCACATTTGGCAAGGGGCCCGTCGTTTGTGTACTTTTAATTGTTCTTCATATGATTAATGTTAACCCCCCTCAATCGATGCAAGCCGCCTGGAGCCTTTCTGACAGAGACGGAACGCTGAGTCACGCATCTTCTCAGATCCAGAGGCGAAGGGGTAGGTGGCGTGGATCCGCTCAAAGCCAGAGAGAGCAGACCCAGCCCTCTGCAAAAAGGCAGGTGGGGGGGGCACACCTGGGGGAAGCCCGGCCTCGCCCACCGGCAGGGAGCCTTGGAGAAAGGCGCCACCTCTTGGCCCAAAAGGGCCCTTCGTCCCAGGGGAGCATAGCGCCAGCCAGCCGCAAGAAGTGGCCAGGAGAGTTGCCTAGCCTCGCTCCCAGGGCAAGCAGCAAAGGCATGGGGCCCATGGAGCGCATGAGGACGCTCCATCCCGCGCAGAACGAAGCCCACAGAAAGCGAGGTCCAGATCTTGGTTCTGTTAACGAGCCTTGCATGGCACCAACATGTGGGTAGCCAAGGGCCCCCCCGAAACCTCCCCACTTGGTAGACCCCCCCCCAGGGACCAAACACAGCCACCCCCAAAATAACACAGCCGTCTGGCTTGGGAAATTCCGGCTGTCGTGACCCAAAAGCATAAGGTTTCTAAACTCGGATCATTTCAAATAAAACAAACAAATCCATTTTAAGGATGTTTTCCGGGAGCTGTTTCTACGAAGCCCAGGAACAGAACGCCCCAAACAGAGTAGAGATCTGCAAAGGGAAAGCCTTCCTACAGTCGCCCACCCAATATTAAGTCCATACGTAAGAGCCCTTCTTTATAAAAAAATACTTTATTCTTCTCACGGTCGTCGTCGTTCACGTCACAGAAGGAATCTGTTCTGTACAAAGCACACACGCACACCCCCAAACCGCGACACAACGCACAAGATGTCCAACCCAAACCCGAAATCCCGTCTTCTGGGGAGCGGCAACAGCTGTCCGCCCCCACAGCCCTACAAGGACTGTAAGGGGGGGGGAGAACTTAGCCCCTCGCTTGACCCATCCGCAGAGCCCTACGAGGACTGTAAGGGGGGGGAGAACTTAGCCCCTCGCTTGACACACACTGGCCGGTGCGGTTCTCCCTTTCGGAAGAGGACAGCCCCGCGGGCCGCAGGAAAAGGCGGAGGAGACGACCCACACAGGGTGACACAAGAGACCTTGGCTTCTTTGACCTCCTGGACGCAGGGCAGCAACGCTGACCCTCTGCAGCGAGGCTGTTCATCCAGGGAGCCTTACCTGTGGGGGGGGGAGCAGGCCTTGAGGCGGCCAGGGGAGCAGCAGGGGGGGGTCACTCACGTTGCCTGGGGTCCCAGGGCTGCAGGTGCTGAAGGGCCTTCGACATTTCACGGGGATCAAACCCAGCACCTCCGGACTGTTTATTCTCTTGCCTTGAGGCTGGCCGCTCCAAAGGTGCTTCGGTGGGGCGGGTTGGGGGGGTGGGGGGTCTCCTTTTATGCCCCAAATGAGGCAGAGCTTAGCAAGGAGGACCTGTGTCAACCCTTGGCGGGGGGGGAGAGAGGGGGGATTCCCTCCCTGCCACCAGCCTCCAAAGCCCAAGAGAGGGTCAAAGGAGAGGCAGCCGTCCACCTTGGGCAATGATGCCTTTACCGGAGGGGGGGGCTGTAGAGGAAAGGGGGCCAGGACCTTGCCGTCCCTCTCTCTAGAAGGAGGGGATCTGGGGGAGCAGCCCTGGAGGGTGGGCTGTAGGGAAGGTTGCCAGGTGGCCCAGGAGAGAACAGCAACCCTAAAAGAGGACCATAGGCCCCGGGTGAAGTATATACTGAAGAATGTGTTTCTGTGAATGTATGAAATGACCTTCAGAATTGAAGATGTCTTAAGATGTTTCACACCCAAAATATGCAGTATATATGAGCTTTTCAACTAATATATTTAAGGTGAAATAAATAGTGTGCTACTTGGTCTAGATGGGCAGAATAGAAATCAAATCAAATCAGTCAATCAGTCAGTCAATCAATCAATCAATCAATCAGTGAAAGTGCATTGGATACACAAGTGACTGTGTGTTAAAGTAGATTATTTCCATGTAAGAAAAAGATCTGGAATATAATCCTCTGAGAAGTTCCTCTGTTCAAATCCCATTGCAATGAATCGGAGTTGTGCAAGAAACAATAAGCTCTTCTGTAGTGCCCATACAATGTACTGTAATAGGTTTTGAACAGTTGAGTGTCGTGGAGGATTATATCCTATATCAGTGTATGATTTATGTATTAGTTTCTCACTTAGGTTTCTTCTTTGTTTTCCACTCATATAGTCCTCCTGTGTTTCTTCATTTTCCATGCATGTGTGTGATAAGT